ATATTTATGGTAGACCTTCCTTCCCAAAATGGGAAGGGACACCACTCATATTCAAGTTCACTCGGTGCTAAGCTAAATTAACTTCATTAAAAACCTTCATTACATTATTTTATAAAATTAGGCTTTAGGAGATTGAATCCCTATATGCTTAGCTCATAGGTCATAGATGAGAGTTAATTACATGGACATATCATATATCATTAGCATTATCTAATTTAGGACACGCTTGAGCACACCTTTCAAGGCTCCTCTATTGACTAGATAATTATTCATATGTGTGTGTGTATACATATATGTGAATACTTCTTTCACATAACACATTAAGGTCACACATGTTCATACATTCATATTCATACACATACAAACCAAAACTAGAAACTATCCTATCAAGGCACACATGTGCAATGCATAGGCAAGGTCCCATAACCTTGCCTATACTAGTACACCTATGATGTACTGTGGTTTCACGGTAATTTTAATGTTTTTTCCTTAAGATTGGTGTGTGTCTAAAGCCTTTTTGTAGTAATTTTAATATGTTTTCATCTTTGGTTTGCTAGAAAGGTGTCCAAGACCAAAATGCAGAAGGCTGTAGAGATTTAGTGCAGGGGTAACCTACAAAGGCTATCAACCGCCCGTCGTCCTATCGATGGACCGTAGATGCTGACCGTTGATAGAAGGTTCAGGAATTCGGAAGCAACTAGGGAAATTCCGACCAAGTGTGGGGCTATGGAAGGATTGACGGTCCGTCGCCTAATCGATGCCCCTACCTATTGAATCATCGATCAAATAAGAGAAAGTTCCAGTACCCGATGTTAAAGAAAACCTAAGTATGGAAGGACTAGAAGCATCAACGGACTATAGGTGAATCTATGGACCGTACTGTTGGTCCATCAATTGGATCAGAGAAGATGCAAGTTGAAATCCAAAAAAGATGTGAAGTTTGGACTTACGGAGGTAGTCGACAGTCCGTCATTTAATCGACGGACCGTCTGCGGGGGTCGTCGATTGAAGTCGCGTTTTTTGGACAACATTCCTTATTACAATTCCTTTTAATTTGGGACAATGTTTTTATAAATAGGGTGTAAAACCTCATTTTTGGGGCGGGATTCTATTACTACTTTCTTAGTTTTGCTCTTGGAGATTTTTGCAACTTCGGTATTAATTCAAATTTTTGGATTTAGTTTTCAAGTGATTTTTGTGATTTCAAGTTGAATTTTTGGATTTTCTTCTAACTTGTCAAACTGAGTTCATGATTTATTATTTATCAACCATGAACTGTGTTCTTTTACGCATGGATAACTAAATCCATAACTAGAGTTGTGGGAACCATAGGTGATTAACAAAGTAAACCTAGCTTTATAACAATTCTCACATAGGTTATTACATGCATTGATAATTCTTTCTCTTAGAAGTCTTCTTAACGAGTGCACGCGTTAGAAATCGCCCTATTACTATTTGCAGACCAAGGAGGTAGTTAATAGGAAAAGAATTATCAACATAGATTTAGTGGGATACTACCTCATAGGCTATTCTCGATTCGTGAAAAGTAATACTAAGCCATACATAGAATATGATGCTTAATATGAAGTAAAGGTAAGGATTAGTAACTTAAGACACACCTAACTTATCACCTTGCATGCAAAACACTAGGGAAGAATTCTTATAGGTATGAATACGGAGTTATGAACCTATGTGGAAAACTTACACCCTTGTTTCTCTCACAACTTGATAAATGCCAAAGATTTACTCTTGTTACTTATTTGATTTAGCAATATTAAAAGACATTTGTTTCACAAAACCCCTCTTTGATAACTCATTTTCGGAAAAGGCTCGACTAAATAGAAGTAAAAAAACATTAAAGTTAAGTCTAAACCATTTTCCTCGTGGGATCGACCCCAACCTAAAAGTTGGGTTCTTTACTTGATACGATCGCTTATACTTCTTAGGTAAGTGTAATTTGAGCATATCAAATTTTGGCGCCGCTGCCGAGGAAATTGGCTTTTAGATAATATTACTGAATTTTAGTCTACAATTTCCTAATTTTAATTTTTTAGGGGTTTTCTTGCTTGTGTTCTTTTCCCTCAAGAAACTGATTACTTTCCTGTTGAATGTGTCGTAACTTGTACAAAGTATGAAAGTGAAATATGAAACATGATGGCTAAAATATGAATGATATCCCGTTCTAAGAAATTGCTTGTATGAATAGGTATAAAGAAGTTGAATGTGTTGGCTCTAATAATGACATATATATGCACCCACTGCATGACCCTCAATCTAACACTCAAACTAGGTGTCCGACAATCTGATAGGGTAACAAGGTGTCAAGAGAGTGTGAGGAAATTTGTTTGTTCCACTGTTGGTACCTAGCTAGAACTTGCACGGCTAGTACTGCAAAAGGAATCTATGTTAGACAACTAGGAAAGGATCATAAACCTTGTTCAAATTAGCTAACATCTAGCCTAAAGTAAAGTGAACCAAATGAAAGTGTTATCCCTTTTTGATCCAAATATGTTGAGCTTATAATAGACCTTTCTTTTCTTCACCAACTTACCTTCCCTGGTATAATATGTTGGTCGTGGTCCCTCCTGGACATGTGCACCTCGACATAGGTCAAAATCCTATGTTGAGGGTAGCTAATACAGAAACTAACCTCGTTTTGGCCCTGACTCAACCTTGGGTAATGTGTACCATGACTCAAGGCAAAGCCATAAGTTGAGGGTGACTATTATGAGTGATAACCCGAAAAGTGGGTATGAAAAGAGTAATGTGGAAAAAAAGAAAAAGTGATAAAGAGAGGTGACTCAGTCAAAATTATCAATTGAATGTAAAAAAAAAAAAGAAAAGAAAGAAAAAGAGTTGAACAAAAAGAAGTAAGACTCACTTTCACAAAGAACAAAATAGTTGAATAATGATCCTTATAATCAAATTTAAAATCACTGTGCGAAAAAGGAGGATATATTTTGAAGTGAGGGTAGTAGTTGCAATATCGTAAAGTAGGTACCTTGGCGAGAGGCAAAAGAGTAGAGGTATCAGTGCATGGTAAGCTTATGTCATGGTCTGATCCACATGAGTGAGCTTATCAAGCCTAAGAGTACAAACATGCACTAAAGCAACGAAAAAGTTGGGATTGATAGCCATGTGATTGCGAAATCTTAAAAGAGGATACTTGTGTACAAAGTATTGTATTGAGTCATAGTACATTGCATGAGGACAAACAACAAATTTTGGATTGAGTGTGTTGATGTACAGTGGTTTCACGCTACTTTCAATGCTTTTTCTTTAAGATTGGTGTGTGTCTACAGCCTTTTCGTAGTAATTTTAATATATTATTATCTTTGTTTTTCAGGAAACCCGTCCAAAACAAAAATGCAGAAGGCTGTGGAGATTTAGCGCAGAGGTAACCCACGAAGGCCATCGATGGCCCGTCCTTCCATCGACGAATCGTAGATGGTAACCATCGATAGAAGGTTCAGGCATCTGGAATAAACTCGAAGAATTCTAACCAAGTGTGGGGCTACGGAAGAATCGAGACGGACCGTCCTGTTGAAGCGTCAATCAGGTCAAAGAAAGTCCCAGTATCCAATGTTGAAGAAAAGCTAAGTATGGAACGACGAGAAGCATCGACGGACCGTAGGTGAATCGACGGATCGTGTTGTTGGTCCGTCGATTGGATCAGAGAAAAATATAAGGGTAAAGCTAAAAAAGATGCTAAGTCTGGACTTACGGAGGAAGTCGACGGTCCATTGTCCGTTGTGGGGGTCGTCGATTCAAGCCGCGTTTTTTGGACAACTTTCCATATTAAAATTCCTTTTAATTTAGGACCGTTTTATAAATAGGGTGTAAAACCTCATTTTTGGTGTTGGATTCTATTACTACTTTTTTAATTTGCTTCTTGGAGATTTTTTCTTGCAACTTTGGCATTAATTCAAATTTTCGAATTTGGTTTTTAAGTGATTTTTATCATTTCAAGTTGAATTTACGGATTTTCTTCGTTTGTCAAAGTGAGTTCATGATTTATCTTTTATCAACCATTAATTGTGTCCTATGCATGGATAACTAAATCCCCAACTAGGGTTGTGGGAACCATGGGTGATTAATAAAGTAAACCTAGATTAATAACCATTCTCACATAGGTTATTGCATGCATTGATAATTCTTTTGCTTAGAAGTCTTTTTAACGAGTGCACGTGTTAGAACTCGTCTTATTGCTACTTGCTGGACCAATGAGCTAGTTAGGAAAAGAATTATCAACATAAATTTAATGGGATACTATCTAATAGGCTAGTCTCGATTGGTGCAAAGTAATAATTAAGTCATACATGAAATTCGATTCTTAATATGAAGTAAAGGTAATGATTAGTAACTTAGACACACGTAGCCGGACCAAGGTACACGGTGAAATTATCTAAATGCCGGACCAAGGATTGAGAGATACCTAACTTATCACTTTGCATATAAAACACTAGTGAAGAATTGTTATAGCTAGGAATACGGTGTTATGAACCTATGGGGAACACTTACACTGTAGTTTCTCTCACAATATTAAAAGACTTTTTTTCGCAAAACCCCCCATTTAATTACTCGTTTTCGGAAAGGACTTGACTAAATAGAAGTAATCGTACATTGAAATTAAGTCTAAACCATTTTCCTCATGGTATCCATCCCAACCTAATAGTTGATACAACCACTTATATTTCTTTAGGGAAGTGTAATTGGAGAGTATCAACCTATCAACTCATCCTAGTTAATTAAACACATATCATATTACTCTGTGGGCTATTGCTACGATTATTGTATGATAATGCAACTGTTCTTTCCCAATTGCGACAGTTACTATATGTTGATTGCTACATTTATCATTAGGCTTTTGCTACAGATATTATTGATCTACTGCCAATTTTTTTATAAAAAACTATTACAACAATAAAATAGAACATAAAATACAGAATTTAATCATGAAATTACTCATTACCAAGATTGCAATCAGAGATAAAAGTGGTTAGTAATATCAATAATAACAAAATATACAATTTTTTTTGAATGTTCAAAAAGGATGAAACACACCACAATTTTCAATATTAATCAAAATCAAAATATTTGTAGAACATAGATGATTAAAGTTAATTAACATCAATCCAGTTAACTCCTAAGTCAAGTCTTCAGTACTGCTTTCATCTCCTTCAATTAAATCTCCTACAACAAAACACAAAGAAGTAAAGCAATGCTTACATTAAGTTATGATAGTGGAAGATGTGAAAGTTAATAGTCATGCATTCACAATGGTTGTTCCTTTGCAGATTGTCATTTGAACAGTCAACTTGTAAACGAAATATACTATTTCTTGAAGGAAATAACATGCTAAATAGGTACTACAAGGTGCAACACATAAAATAGATAACTACAAGAAGACATTCTACCATCCTCGTAGAGCACTTCTAAGTGAATAAGAAGTAACTTCGAATAAGGTATTCATCAAAATCACTCAAAGAATCACTAATATCATGAAGTACTTATTAACTAGAAAGAGTCAATATATAGGGATGTCAAACGTAAGACCAACACCAGAAATATTAAAAAAACATTGACCATTACACCCAAGTCATTATTGCGTAGATCTCAACTTTCTTCCATCAAGTTCCACAAAAATCAATTCATAAAATCAGTTAATTATTTCCCTATAAGTAGCAATAAATTTCACACCATTTTGTGATAACTTGACATTGTAAAACTTAAAGAAAAAATTGGAGACAAAGAAGAAGAAGAAAAAGAAGAAGTCAAATAAGAAAATTAGTGAATCTAACCTTGATAAGCCGCTTGTGAGGAAGTACTAGTTTCTCTTGGAGGAGGAACAAATAATGCAGCTAGTATGTTCCGATCAATTAATCCTGCATTTTGAAGTTGTGCAATTACTTTTGTGATAGCTTGTTGTCGCATAGTTTTATTTTGTTCCTCCATCCGTTTCTCCGTTATTTTGCATTTGTTGAACTACATCATCTGTGGCCTTTAAAGAATGGTCAGAATTTCCAGGTTTTATTTTCAATGCAGTCTTTGTAACCCCCACTCCATACAGTATGAGACGTACCGGATGTTCATGACCCATAACGGCTGAAAATGCATGAACAGACTGATTATTTGTGTCCATTTGTGTTTCAATAGTTTCCATTTCAGCATAACAAAGCATATCCAACAACTATCCATGTAATTAAAATTTAGAAAACATAATATATCTCAAAATAGACAACATTCGTACAATTTTACTAGTTGTGTTTTCGTCGAGGTCTTGTACAAATGCCCAAGTTTCCTTGTTCTTGTGAACACAAAGATCTCTTTAGCTGATACAGTTTCCTTTTCTTTTTCCTAGTCACAAAAAAATAATTAAATACCAAAACTTGCTTAAACAACAGGTCAATAATGAATATTAAATAAGAGAACATACCAATTTGTTACGGACTAAAGCAAAACTCTTTTTGCCAGCGGTGTGTGGGTTCATCTGCTTTTTTCGATTCTTAGTATTTATTCAGATTGTTCATTTGTTGGAGGAATGATAGAATTAATTTCCACTTGCTCTTCTAGGGGCTGCTCATCTGGAGGTTGTTCCTCTAAAGATTGCCTAATTTCTTCAGATTATTCATTTGCTTGAGATTTTGGTGCTACGCCTTGATGTTGTTCTTCAATTAAGTTTAGAAAATGTCGTTTCCTCACTCTATAGCTTGAAATATTTCATTTGTTGTCAATAATCGTTGTTTTTTATTTGCCCAGAATGATAATGATCCACGTAAAGCAAGGTTCTTTTTTGCTCTTTTGTATCTTTTCGAAGGCTCTTGTTGACTCATGACTATTCAAATCTGAACAAATAATCACCAAGAACTTAAAAAACACATTTTCATTAGTAGAACAATAACAACAATAAGAGTGACGATAGCAAATGAGCATAAAGAAAGAAAATTAAATTATACATAAAAAGAGATTCTTTTTAGAAGTAAATCATGTGGATCTACTCCAAGTTTTTTGAAACTTTATACTATCTGAATAGCTATGCGTGCACTAAACATAGGCTATCCCTCACTTTGGTTTCAGTAGTATTTCCATTTTCACAGATGGTATTAATAGAAAAGTAGAAAAATTAATTCTTAGAGCTGATAAATTAGGAGTTAAAGTGATCAGTCTTGCGGCATTAAACAAGAATGAGGCAGTAAATGGAGATTGAACGTTATTTTTGAACAAGCATCCTAACGTAACTGTAAGGGTACTACATCCAATGCTTCTAATAGTGTCAGCAAGTAATGGACTACTGAAGAAGAAATGCCAGCCTTCAGCTACATCAAATGCTACTTTGAAGTAAATCAAACATCTAGAACCTAGCACGAGTAAATGACAAGGATTCTAGAATATGAGATCAGATAGTTTCAACTAGATATAAAATGTCACTTTTAAGAGAAAAAACATCAGAAGCTAAACAAAGAAGAGTCTGGCGAATTCAAAACTTCAGAAATCTGTATATTCAATTTCCAAGGACTTTATATAAGGTATATGGCTGTCACAATATGGAATAAGAAATGAAATCAAACTAAAGTTATACAGTTAATCTTCTAGCATGTAACAAGTGTAGGACTGACCGATTCGAGAGAAAATAATAACAAGATTGATAAACCATCAGATTTTATAATTTGGTTAGCACAAACGACTGAACTCTAACCAAATACATACTAAACCAATCATTCGAAAATTCAATCAGAAGCAATGACACTTAAATAAATGACCTTAAGCAGAACCAACCAAGAATGCTTGTTGACTAAAAAATAACTCACCCTGCTGGAAACATGTAGCCAGGCCAACAAATTTAATTGACAAGAGAATAAACTTTAAATTCTACTTAGAATAAGCCCCAAACCTGCACATGCAAAAGATATCAAGCCAAGCAGATTTAGACGAAGTGCTGACTGTATTCACAACAAACAAAGACACAGAAAACACCAGCCCATTTATAGCTTAAACGATTTTTATACAGAAGCTAAAATCAAGAGTTCTCTAGGCTTAAAGCAAGATCTGAGTTTCACAAATGAGAAAAATGTATGGTATGAACTAAAAAACAAGGTTAACTTGAATATTAAAATAAAGGCCAAATTTGGAAACTAATTTAGATTAAAATCAAAATATACGGTCTTTTAAAATAACAACTAGTCATAATGGATGTTTACATCCATTGACATACGAACCGTAACATTATAGAGAACAAGACCAACATTTGCAATAATCAAATAAGGAGTACATGATTCAAAATATAAACACATTTAGACACATCAATTTAAAAAATACACTTAATATTGAAGGAAATTCAAACAGGAACACAAATCACCCTAAGGAACAGAAATGAGAACTAGAAAAGGCATCAACTAGTATAGAAAGCAAACTATTTGATTAAGATTTTAACATACTCAGATTGAGTCACACAAATCGATGAATTAATAAAAATTCAACTAAGGAACTAGAACATATAAAAGAATATTCAAAATTTAAACTATAATCCCAAAAACTGAAAAAAAGAAATTCAAGGAATAGGAATTGCCTTCTTTGGAGCAGCCATACTGGGACGAGCACGAGCTGGCCACAAGCTTCAACGACCACGAGCTAGTTTTGATGAGCTTTGGAAGGAAAAAGAGTCTCCAATCTGAGAAAAAACTGAAAAATAACCTTGTTTCAGAGGATGAATCTTTGTATTTTGGACGAGAAAAATCTATATTTCTAGATTATACTAATAAAATTGAAACCAAGCTTCTTAATGAACTTTTGCAGAGAGTTCAGAAAATCTTCAACAAATAGATTACATCGCTGACCTAATTTTGAACAAATAACATAAATTTCAAACAAACCCACTTGTTATTCTTTAAGACTATTGAGAAACCCTTCAATGGAGTTTCAGATTATACAAAACATTATATGCATAACAAATTAGAGACAATGGGGACTTAGAAATAATGGAGTAGACTGAGAAAACATAAAAATAGTATACCTTTATAAAAAATTGCGGTAGAAGAAGATTACTGTTGGAGACTAAGACCAATGGAGATGAAGAAAAATACTTGTCAAACAGAAGAAGAAGACTGCCTCACTATGAAGAAGAAGAAGACCGGATCTTGTTGAAGAAATATACTGCGATTAACCGGAGCTCACATTATCCTTTCCATTTTTCGGAAGTCCTTTTGCAAGAAGAAGTCCAAAGTTGTAACCCTAAATGAAATAAATGGCATTTTAGCTAAAAGTCTAGCAGTGAGGGAAATATATATTTTGGGAATAAAATCCGTGGATTAACTAAAATATTTTTTTCACTTAAATAATTGTTGCCACAGTCTTTTAGTGCGACGTTTGTAATGTGTGTTGCCTTAGCAAATCTATACCAACGGGGTTAGGAATGATGCCACGATTATTTTTTATTATTGTTGTATTTGATCCCTTGATATATTGTGACAGTCATAACCATTGCAATAGATAATATATTGCAACGGTTGTTCATGTTGCCAAAAATGCATGGCAGTAGATCATTTTTGGGGCTAAATTCTATTACTACTTTCTTAGTTTGGCTCTTGGAGATTCTTGCAACTTCGGCATGAATTCAAATTCTCGGATTTAGTTTTCAAGTGATTTTGGTGATTTCAAGTTGAATTTCTGGATTTTCTTCGAATTTGTCAAAGTGAGTTCATGATTTATTATTTATAAACCATGAACTGTGTTCTTTTATGCATGGGTAACTAAATCCATAACTAGGGTTATGGGAACCATAGGTGATTAACAAAGTAAACCTAGCTTAATAACAATTCTCACATAGATTATTATTACATGCATTGATAATTCTTTCTCTTAGAAGTCTTTTTAACGAGTGCATGCGTTAGAACTCACCTTATTTCTACTTGCAGACCAAGGAGGTAGTTAATAGGAAAATAATTATCAATATAGATTTACTGGGATACTATCTAATTAGGCTATTCTCGATTCGTGCGAAGTAATAACAAATTCATACATCAAATACGATGCTTAGTATGAAGTAAATGTAAGAATTAGTAACTTAGACACATGTAACCGGACCAAGGTACGATATGAAATTCTCTAAATGCCGGACCAAGAATTTAGAGATACCTAACTTATAACTTTGCATGCAAAACACTAGGGAAGAATTCTTATAGGCATGAATACGGCGTTATGAACCTAAGGGGAACACTTACACCCTTGTTTCGCTCACAACTTGATAAATCCCAAAGATTTAATCTTGTTACTTGTTTGATTTAGCAATATTAAAAGACTTTTATTTCACAAAAGCCCTCTTTGATTTCTCGTTTTTGGAAAGAGTTTGACTAAATAGAAGTAATTGTACATTAAAGTTAAGTCTAAACCATTTTCCTCGTGGAATCGATCCCAACTTAATAGTTGGGTTCTTTACTTGATACGGCCTCTTATACTTCTTTAGGGAAGTGTAATTTGAGCATATCAAAATTTGACACCGCTTATAATAGACCTTTCTTTTCTTCACCAACTCACATTTCCTAGGTATAATGTGTTGGCCCTGGTCCCTCCTTGAACATGTGCACCTCGACTTAGGTCAAAAGCCTAAGTTGAGGGTAGCTAATATAGAAACTAACCTCGTTTTGGCCTTGTCCCAACCTTGGGTAATGTATACCATGACTCAAGGCAAAACCATAAGTTGAGGGTAACTATTATGAGTGATGACCCGAAAAGTGGGTATGAAAAGAGTAATGTTGAAAAGAAAAGATTAAGTGATCAAGCGAGGTGACTTAGTCAAAATTATCAATTGAATGTAAAAAAAAAAGAGAAAAGAAAGAAAAAGAGTTGAACAAAAAGAAGTAAGAGTCACCTCCACATAGAGCAAAAGGGAAAGCAAGGAAAAGATGAAAAGAAAAAAAAAGTAGGCCATAAGAGATAATGAAAAAGGTAGGACACTTAGCGATAATGTCAAGGAGGGCAAAAAGTCACTAAAATGTACTCATATGTACCATACTTGACGCTGAGCCTACGTCACAAGCCAAGAAAATCATATCATGATCCTAAGAGTCTAATGTGTTAAACTTAAGCAACGAAAATAAGGGCAAGCCTATGGAGACAAGTACTAACTAGGTGTGAATTTGTTTTGAGCGTGAGTGTTACATAATGATCCTTATACTCAAAGTTAAAATCACTGTGCGAAAAAGGAGGATATCTTTTGAAGTGAGGGTACTAGTTGCAATATCGGAAAGTTGGTACCTTGGCAAGAGGCAAAAGAGTAGAGGTGTCAGCGTATGGTGAGCTTATGTCATGGTCTGATCCACACGGGTGAGCTTATCAAGCCTAAGAGTAGAAACGTGCACTAAGGCAACGAAAAAGTTGGGATTGATAGCCATGTGATTGCGAAATCTTAAAAGAGGATACGTGTGTACAAAGTGTCGTGTTGAGTCATAGTGCGTTGCATGAGGACAAACAACGAATTTTAAGTTGAGGGTGTTGATGTGACGTGGTTTCACAGTTGTTTCAATGCTTTTTACTTAAGATTGATGTGTGTCTAGAGCCTTTTTATAGTACTTTTGATATGTTATTATCTTTGTTTTTCAAGAAACGTGTCCAAAACCAAAACTCAGAAGGTTGTGGAGATGTAGCGTAGAGGTAACCCACAAAGGCCATCAATGACCCATCGTCCCATAGACGGATTGTAGATGGTGACCATCGATAGAAGGTGTAGGCATCTAGAAGAAACTTGGGGAATTCTGACCAACTGTGGGGCTTCGAAAGGATCGAGACGGACCGTCCTGTTGAAATGTTGATCATGTCAGAGAAAGTCTCACTATCGATGTTGAAGAAAAGCTAAGTATGGAAGGACGAGAAGCATCTACGGACCGTAGGTTAATCGACGGACTGTGTTGTTTCTTCGTCGATCGGATCAGAGAAAATGCACGGGTAAAGCTAAAAAAGATGCTAAGTCATGACTTACGGAGGCAGTCGACAGTCCGTCGTCCGTCTCTGGGGGTTGTCGATTGAAGCCACGTTTCTTGGACAATTTCTCTTATTAAAATTCCTTTTAATTTAGGACAATGTTTTAATAATTAGGGTACAAAACCTCATTTTTGGGGTTGGATTCTATTACTACTTTCTTAATTTTGTTCTTGGAGATTTGTTCTTGCAACTTTGGCATTAATTCAAATTTCCGGATTTGGTTTTAAGTGATTTTTGTCATTTCAAGTTGAATTTATGGATTTTCTTCGAATTTGTCGAAGTGAGTTCATGATTTATTGTTTATCAACCATGAATTGTGTTCTTCTATGCATGGATAACTAATTCCTCAACTAGGATTGTGGGAACCATTGGTGATTAACAAAGTAAATCTAGATTAATAACAATTCTCACATAGGCTATTGCATATATTGATAGTTCTTTTGCTTATAAGTCTTTTTAACGAGTGCACGCGTTAGAACTCGACTTATTGCTACTTGTCGGACCAAGGAGCTAGTTAGGAAAAGAAGTATCAACGTAGATTTAATGGGATACAATCTAATAGGCTAGTCTCGATTGGTCCAAAGTAATAACTTAGTCATACATCGAATACAATTCTTAATATGAAGTAAAGGTATGGATTAGTAATAGACACACGTAGCCGGACAAAGGTACGGGGTGAAATTATCTAAATGCTGGACCAAGGATTGAGAGATACCTTACTTATCACTTTGCATATAAAACACTAGAGAAGAATTGTTATAACTGGGAATACGCCGTTATGAACCTATGGGGAACACTAACACCCTAGTTTCTCTCACAACTTGATAAATACCAAAGATTTTACTCTTGTTACTAGTTTGATTTAGAAATATTAAAATACTTTTGTTTCACAAAACTCCCCTTTAATTACTCATTTTCCAAAAGGGCTTGACTAAATAGATGTAGTCGTACATTGAAGTTAAGTCAAAGCCATTTTCCTCGTGAGATCGACCCCAACCTAATAGTTGGGTTCTTTACTTTATACGTCCGCTTATACTTCTTTAGGAAAGTAATTGTAGTGTATCAAACTATCAAGTCATCCTAGTTAAGGAAACATATATCATATTTTCATAGACATAATTTTAACATGCATAGTAGTAGACACTAGTGAATATTAGAATTATCTTTTATTTAGACACCATGACCTATACTACTTGTAAGCATGCATGTGAAGTGAAGGTGTGTGTACGTTGGTCAATATGATCACATAATGTCTATCAACAACACATTGTGTCAGCCACCCTCTTAATACCACATTAAACTTTCAAACATAAAGCACACAACACCATTTAGCATAGGAGTCAATACAATCTTCACATTACATTCAAGACTCCTAACCTTACTTATTCACTCATTCACATAGGGGTACATGGGTAGGGATCATCAATCTTTAGTACTTCATTAATGGCAACACCTACATATGATTTTAACATAACCATTTATATGCTCATGACATTACCAACACAACCTAGATTATAGTTAGAATTGGAAACTAGGCATAGTCTTCACATAGGATGATTCATCACCAACACACATTCATAGTGTAGTTTACTTCAAGGCCATGATCACATCACATATATATTGGTAACAAAAGTAAACATCGCCACCATAAGTGGACCATACCACACAATATCATACAAGGCTTCATCAACAATACTATAGAGAAGTAGAGAAGTGGGGCAAACTTCACCAATCTTTTAGCCTTTGGTCATGATTGACCATTACTATTATTTCATAAACAATTCAAATATAAGGCAGTATCTAAAGGTATACTAACATATGCAAATCATACATTAATCATAACAATATTGAGATCATATTAGGTTCACTACATCATCAATTTATAAAATGTGAAGGCAAATTGATATCTTATCAATTCTTTCTCATTTTGATTATCTATTATTTATGCTCAAAATTAATCAATATTACACATAAAAGGCACTAGTTAAAGATAACATGGCTTAGACGAAATCCTACTACAATTTGCCAAGTGGTCAAGATTACAATGAGCATCATGAAATTAAAATAGAGAGGAATTAGGGATCAAGTCTTCAAGAATCAATCCACATTGGATACCAACACATAATTCATCATTATAATCTATTATAGGCAATATATAAAGTACAATCAACCCTATATAACATCGTGAACCAATTACCATGGATCGAGATACATAGAACTACATTAGCACGTTATAGAAGATAGGAGAACATGAATCAATACTACCTAATCCCAAGC